AGCTCAGTGGCTACGTGCAGTGTAGGGCTTCGTTCGGCTTCAGTGTTTCGAACTATTTATCTCCACCAGCTAAGTCAGTACCTGCCTCTGTAAAATCCAATCTCACAGAAAAATGTGTGGAGTTTTGTTGTCGCGATATTAGGTCATTTCATGCGGTTGCGGGAAAAGGTTTTATCGACCTAATAATATGTGGGGGCTACCTATGGCCGCGTCTCAGCCGAGAGTGTGCTGCCTGATCCCACAACAATCTCTCGGAGATGTAAAGAAGCTGTGGCCTCAAAACGTCAGACTGTGGTCAAAGAAATATTGGATATTATGCGTGACATTAATGTTGGGATGACCACTGACATGTGGACTGACGACTACAGCAAGAACAGTTTCTTAACAATCACTTGCCACTAAATCATGCCAGATTTTTGCTTCGAAGCAGAGTCCTTACTACAGTGATGTTCCCCCCTGAAGAAGTGAAAACCGGTGACAACATACGGAGAGAATTACGGCGGCAGCTCGTTTCTGTACTTGGATTTGATGCCTGTGTTATGAACAAAGTAGTCTGGGTCACTGATCAGGGATCAAACATAATTGCTGCACTCGCACCGTATCATCGGCTGGATTGTCAGGACTATGTTTATAACACAGTACTCAGATGTGCACTTGATTGTGATGAACTACGAGACTGCACACCAGAGATCACACAGACTTTGTTGGCAGCAAATGCACTCATGAGATACGTCAAGCAAACAGGTATAATAAACCAGTTACCAAAACCATCAGACAAATGTCAGACACCAGGTTAAGCACTGTGTTCCTTACCTTGGATTCAATTAAAGAGGCATACACTGAGCTTCGTGAAAAACTTGACAACCGCGGAGAAAGCAAAAGAATCGACAAAGTATCTCCAGATGTCTTGGAGTTCCTGCTGGAATTTCTTCGCCCATTCTACCAGGCTCAGAGGGAACTAGAGGGCAACCAGTGCCCCACACTTAACCTGGTTGTTTTGTGGCATGAGCGGCTTAAGCGCCACTGCAGGCCTGTGGCTTGATACAGTCCACACCAGGCCATCATTCGTGAGCGACATCTCGAATGGCTGAATCGCAAAATCAAAATCGAGACTCTGCATAAACTTGCCATATTTCTGTGGCCAAAATTCTGTCAACTTTGCATGCTGTCTTCACATGACAGAGAGGCTTTCCACCAAGAATCCAGGTATCGGATTGCTAGCTTTACCAGTGGTGGCGAGCCAGCTGTTGAACCGGCAACTAAAAGAAGCAAGACTGTAGTGGCAGAGTTTGAGGAGTGGGTAAATGTGCCCCTAAATGAAACTGTTGATGAAGTTCACCAATACATCAGCCGCAACCACGACATGGAAGAGGAGCAGGATCTCTTGGGTTGGTGGAAAAGAAACTATCAACTGTCGATGCCGTTCTCTTCCTTCACAACGCATATTCGAATTATTATGCATTTTATTCGAATTATGAATTCGGACACTGAGTTCACTGGAATGAGAGCCGTTTTTGAATAGTTTGTGCTTGCTGTTAAAGGGTTAGTTCACCCAAAAATGAAAATTAGCCCATAAATTACTCACCCTCAAGTCATTCTAGGTGTATATGACTTTCTTCTTTCAGACGAATCCAGTCGGAGTTATTTTAAAAATCGTCTTTGATCTTTCAAGCTGTTTAATGCCACTCAGCGGGTGCTGCATGCATCAGTCCAAAAGAAGTTAAATAAAAAGCGCCCATCCGTAAAAAAGGTCTCACACGGCTCCGGGGGGTGAACAAAGGCCTTCTGTAGCGAATCGATGCGTTTTTGTAAGAAAAATATCCATATTCAAAATGTAATAATAATTTTAATGTAGCTTGCGCCAACAAGCAGCTCCGGGCGGATGGCG